GGAAACTAAAGACCCAAAAGAAAAAAACAGACCAACAGAAAGTAGTGGTGGGAAAAAAAAAAAGTCTAATGAAAAAAAAAAAAAAAACAACCCGAAAAATAAATGGGGAAACTAAAGACCTAATGAAAAAACAACCAAACGAAGTAGTGGTGAAACAAAGGCCTAATGAAAAACAGACCCAAAGAATGTAGGGTTTAAAAAAAAAGAGCCTAATTTTTTAAAAAAAACAGACCAACAGAAAGTGTGGGAAACTAAGAGCCTAAAGAAATAACAAAACCAACAGAAAAGTAGAGGTTTTAAAATAAAGAGCCAAAAGAAATACCGACCAACAGAATTTAGTTTGGGAAAAAAAAAAGGCCTAAAGAAATAAAACCCACCCAACAGAAGTAGTGGTTTAAAAATAAAAAGCCCAAAGAAATAACAGACCCAAAAGAAAGTAGGGTGAAAAATAAGAAACCAAAGAAAAAACAGACCAAGAAATTTTGTGGGGAAACTAAAAGCCAATGAAATAACAAGACCCAACCCGAATGTAGTGGGGAAAAAAAAAAAAAGCCCCAATGAAATAAAAGAAACCCAAAATAATGTAGGGTGAAACTAAAAAAACCTAAAGAAATAACAAACCAAAAGAATGTAGTGGTGAAAATAAAGAGCCTATTTAAATAACAGACCCAGAATGTAGTGGGGAAACTAAAAAGCCAATGGGAAAAAACAGACCCAAGGAAATGTAGTGGGGAAAAATAAAAGTTTAAAGAAATAACAAAAACCACCCGAATGTAGTGGGGAAACTAAAGAGCCTAAAGAAATAACAGACCAAAAGAAGTAGTGGTGAAAAATAAAAAGCCTAAAAGAAAAAACCAACCAAAAAAATTTAGTGGGGAAACTAAAGAGCCCAATGAAATAACAGACCAAAAAAAAAGGGAGGGGGAAACTAAAAGAACCCAATGAAATAAAGAAAACAGAATGTGTGGGAAACTAAAGGGCCTAATGAAATAACAGACCAAAAATTTAGTGGTGAAACTAAAGACCTAAGGAAAAAAAAGACCAAAGAAAGGGAAATGGTGAAAAATAAAAAAGGGCCCAATGAAATAACAGACCAAAAAGAAGTAGTGGTGAAAAATAAAAGCCTAAGGGAAAAAACAACCAAAAGAATGTAATGGGAAACTAAAAAGCCTAATGAAAAAACAGCCCAACAGAAATTTGTGGTGAAAAAAGAGCCGAATAAATAAAACCAAAGAAAGGATTTGGGGAAAATAAAAAACCCCCAAAGAAAAACAAACCCAAAAGAAAGGGGTTTGGTGAAATAAAGGCCTAATGAAATAACGACCAAAAATGTATGGTGAAAAAATAAAGAGCATAATGAAATTAAAAGACCAACCCAAATTTTAGTGGTTGGGAAAAAAAGAGCCTAATGAAAAAACGACCAAAAGAATGTATGGGGGAAACTAAAGAGCTAATTTAAAAAACCCAAACACCCCAAAATAATGTGTGGTGAAAAAAAAGAGCCTAATGAAAAAACAGACCAACAGAATGTAGTTTTGGGGGGGAAAAAAAAGAGCCTAGGGAAATAAAAAGACCAAAAAAGAATGTAGTGGTGAACTTTAAAAAGCCAATGAAATAACAGACCAACAAATGTAGTGTGGGAAAATAAAAAGTCTAAGAAAAACCCGACCCAAAAGAAAGGGAGTGGTGAAACTAAAGAGCCCAATGAAATAAAAGACCCAAAAGAATGTATGGTGAAAAAAAGAGCCTAAAAGAAATAACAGAAACCCAAAAGAATGAGTGGGGAAAATAAAAAACCTAATGAAATAACGCCCCAAAAGAATGTAGGGTGAAACCCCAAAAAGCCTAAAGAAAAACAAAGACCAAAAGAATGTGTGGGGAAAATAAAGAGCCAATGAAAAAAAAAGACCAACCCGAATGTAAATTTGGTGAAAATAAAAAGCCTAATGAAATAACAGACCCCCAACCGAAGTAGTGGGGGAAACAAAAAGCCAAGAAATAACAACCAAAAAGAATGTAGTGGTGAAAATAAGGCCCTAATGAAATAACAGGGCCAAAAAATGTAGTGGTTTAAACTAAAGGCCTAAAGAAATTAAAAGACCCAAAAGATGTAGTGGTTTAAAATAAAGAACCCAATGAAAAAAACCCGACCCAAAAAAGAATTGTTTTTTTGGTGAAACTAAAAACCAATTTAAATAAAAAAACCAAAAAATGTTTTGTTTGGGGAAAAAAAAAGCCCAATGGAAAAAACGACCCCAAATGTAAGTGGGGAAACTAAGACCCCAAAGAAAAAAACAGACCAACCGAAAGTAGTGGTGAAACTAAAGAGAAAAAATTTGGGGAAATAACCCAAAAACCCCCGAAGTATTTTTGAAAATAAAGATTTAAGAAAAAAACAGAACCCAAAGAAGTAGTGGTGAAAAATAAAAAGCCCCAATGAAAGAAAACAGACCAACAGAATGTGTGGTGAAAAATAAAAGGGCTAATGAAAAACAGACCCCAAAAGAATGTTGGGGAAAATAAAAAAGCCTAATGGGGAAATAACAGACCAACGAATTTTGGGGTTTAAACTAAAGAGGGGCTAAAAATAACAGACCAACGAATGTAGTGGGAAAAAAAAGAGCCTAAGGTAAAAACAGACCAACAGAAGTAGCGGGGAAACCCAAAAAAAGCCTAAGGAAAAAACAGACCAAAAGAAAAAAAAGGGGTGAAACAAAGAGCCTAATGAAAAAAACAGACCAACCGAATTTAGTGGGGAAAATAAAGAGCCCAATGAAATAACAGAAACCCAACCCAAAAAAGTAGGGTTTTAAACTAAAGAGCCCCAAGGGGAAAAACAGACCCCCAGAATGTGTGGTGAAACTATAAAAAGTTTTAATGAAATAAACAGACCAAAAGAATGTAGTTTGGGGGAAACCTTTAAAAGGCCCCAATAAATAACAAAACCCAACAGAATGAGTGGTGAAACCAAAAGCCATGAACAACAAACCCAAAAGAAAGTATGGTTAAAACTTTAAAAGCCCCAAAAGAAAAAACAGACAAAATAATGATTGGGGAAATAAGAAGCCTAATTTTAAATTAAAAGACCAAACCAGAAAGTAGTTTGGGGAAAATTAAAAAGTAAAAAAAATAACAGAACCCAAAAGAATGTAGTTTGGGAAATAAAAAGCCTTAAGAAAAAACAACCAACAGAATGTAGTGGTAAATTAAAAAGCCCAAAGAAAAAAACAACCAACCAATAATTTAGGGGTGAAAATAAAAAGCCCAATGAAAAAACAGACCAACATAAAAATTTTTTGGTTTAAAACTTAAAAGCCCCCAAAGAAAAACCCCCAAGCCCAAAAGAAAAATAGTGGTGAACTTTAAAAAGGGCCCAATGAAATAAAAGACCAAAAAGACTGTAAATGGTGAAAATAAAGAGCCCAATTAAAAACAGACCAAAGAATGTGTGGGGAAACTTTTAAAAAGCCCAATGAAATAAAAAACCCAAAGAAGTATTTAGGGAAAAATAAAGGGGCCCAATGGGAAAAAACAAACCAAAAGAATGTTTGTTGGTGAAACTAAAGGCCTAAATGAAAAAACAACCAACAGAAGTAGGGTTTTGAAATTTAAAAGGGTAAAGAAATAACAGCCCAAAAAGAATGTTTTTGTGGAAAATAAAAGAGCCAAGAAAAAACAGGAAAACAAACAGAATGTATTTTGGGGAAACTAAAGAGCCTAATTTTAACTAACAACCCCCAGAATTTTTGGTTTTTTTAACCCAAAGAGCCAATGAAAAACAACCAAACCCGAATTTATGGTGAAAACCCCCAAAAGCCCCAAGAAAAAACAACCCACAGAATGTTGTGGTGAAACTAAAGAGCCTTTAAAGAAAAATTTTTGAAACCAACAGAAAAGTATTTGGGGGAAACTAAGAAAACCTTTAAAGAAATAACAGGGCCCAGAATGTGGTTGGGGAAAATAAAGAGCCGTAACCCTAAAATAAAAGACCCAAAAGAATGTATTGGGGAAAATAAAGAGCCCAATGAAAAAACAGACCCAAAAGAATGTAGGGTGAAACTAAAAAGGCCCCCAATGAAAACACGACCAACAGAATGTAAACAGGTTTTTAAACGATTCCTTTAGATTTTTAAAAAAAATATTGTGGGATGGAACCCCTTATCCCCCCTTGAAAGCCTTTGATCACAAAAGGGGAAAAATTGGGTGTGTGTACAATAAGATTCATTAAAATGATCACCCATTGTGCTACAGACAGTTTCTCTTTAAGCTTTTTTTTTTTCCAGTTTCCAGTTCGACGGAGTTGTTTTGATTTTGAAAACGCCAGCCGAACCACCCCTGGTCCGAAGTCATGAAGCACCACTAGAAACCCCCATGGCCTGATATCATGAAGCAGCCAGCTAGACCCCCCAAAGGTCCGAGATCCCTGAAAACAGGCCCGCTAGGGCCCACCCGGTCCCCGATATCATGGCCCCCAGCTAGCCCCCCATGGTCCCCGAGATCATAAGAGCCCCAGACCCAAACCCTGGTCCTTTAATCAGAAGCAGCCCGCCCGACCCACCACAGTCCCTGGGGTCATAAGCAGCCAACTAGAAACCCCCATTTCCTGAGATCATAAAAGCCAGCTGAACCCACCACGGTCCCGGATCATGAAGCAGCCCCCCTTTGAATCCCCTACGGCCTGAGATATGAAGGGAGCCAGCAACCCCACCATGGTCCTGATTTTCTGAAGCAGCCCCTAACCCACCATGGTCCCCGGGTTCATGAAGGAAACCAGCTAGAACCCCCCACGGTCCCGAATCATGAAACAGCCAGCTAGACCCCCCCCCATTGGGCCTGAGATCATGAAGCAGCCCTAGACCCACCATGGTCCTGATAAGCTGTAGCCCTCTCACATTGATCTCTTTGTCACCGAGGGGTAAAGGAGCCCTACGGTGGCCCTAACGGGGAAAGTAGCTTTTAGAATTGAGTGACAGAGGGGTTAAAATAAAGGAATCTTTACCTGCATATCCAGGGGGACAGACACACTTGAAGCCTCCAGGTTTGTTGATACAGACGGCCTCGTGGAGGCAAGGTGAAACTTCACACTCATTAATATCCAGGTCACACAGGCTGCCAAAATATCCAGGTGGGCAATTGCAGTGGAACCTAGACAGTAACAAGAAGAATAACTATTAGTGATGGGATGACAATGATTATAGGAAACTGAACAGGTCAGACAGTATTAAAAAGAAGCAGAACATTTAGAGGTGGAAGGACCATTATTATACTACTGTATTTAACTATATTCCCAGGAACACCCATAGGATGACCAAACAGATACACAAAATGGCTACAGAAGATTTTTTCATGTGGCACTCAAGTCAACAGTGTGTGTAATTGATATAAGTGATGTAGTATCCCAAAGTCATTTTGTATTAAGTGCCCTCCTGTCTATTTGATAGGTTATGGTTGTTTTCTGTTGGTTTAGGCATTATTGATAGTAGAGAAAAATGTCAATTCATTTGATATTTTCTCCATCTATCCTCTATGACTTTATGACTGTTTTCTCCATCTATCCTCTATGACTTTATGACTGTTTTCTCCATCTATCCTCCTATGACTTTATGACTGTTTTCTCCATCTATCCTCTATGACTTTATGACTGTTTTCTCCATCTATCCTCTATGACTTTATGACTGTTTTCTCCATCTATCCTCTATGACTTTATGACTGTTTTCTCCATCTATCCTCCTATGACTTTATGACTGTTTTCTCCATCTATCCTCTATGACTTTATGACTGTTTTTCTCCATCTATCCTCTATGACTTATGACTGTTTTCTCCATCTATCCTCTATGACTTTATGACTGTTTTCTCCATCTATCCTCTATGACTTTATGACTGTTTTCTCCATCTATCCTCCTATGACTTTATGACTGTTTTCTCCATCTATCCTCTATGACTTTATGACTGTTTTCTCCATCTATCCTCTGACTTTATGACTGTTTTCTCCATCTATCCTCTATGACTTTATGACTGTTCACAGCTTACTTCTATAGGGGACAACATTACAGCTTACTGCTATAGGGGACAACACTACAGCTTCCTTCTATAGGGGACAACACTACAGCTTACTGCTATAGGGGACAACACTACAGCTTACTGCTATAGGGGACAACACTACAGCTTACTGCTATAGGGACAACACTACAGCTTACTGCTATAGGGGACAACACTACAGCTTACTGCTATAGGGGACAACACTACAGCTTCCTTCTATAGGGGACAACACTACAGCTTACTTCTATAGGGGACAACACTACAGCTTACTGCTATAGGGGACAACACTACAGCTTCCTTCTATAGGGGACAACACTACAGCTTACTGCTATAGGGGACAACACTACAGCTTCCTTCATAGGGACAACACTACAGCTTCCTTCTATAGGGACAACACTACAGCTTAAATGCTATAGGGGACAACACTACAGCTTCCTTCTATAGGGGACAACACTACAGCTTACTGCTATAGGGACAACACTACAGCTTACTGCTATAGGGACAACACTACAACATACTGCTATAGGGGACAACACTACAACATACTGCTATAGGGGACAACACTACAGCTTACTGCTATAGGGGACAACACTACAGCTTACTGCTATAGGGGACAACACTACAGCTTCCTTCTATAGGGGACAACACTACAGCTTACTGCTATAGGGGACAACACTACAGCTTACTGCTATAGGGGACAACACTACAGCTTACTGCTATAGGGGACAACACTACAGCTTACTGCTATAGGGGACAACACTACAGCTTACTGCTATAGAGTACCACAGTATGAGTCATAATACCCATAAAACCTAGCGGTCAAACAGGGAAATGGTTCCAATCGTTTTTTTTCCACCATTGATTTTCCCCATAGGAGAGTTTTGTGGGGGTGAATATATTGAGGAAAGTCACCTTGTCCAAGAGAGATTTACATGGTTATCAAAACATACAACAGTACAGTTTACTGCTATAGAGGACAACAATGGGGGCCAAACCAGATCTTTACATGTCCGCTCTCAATGTACCAATACAAACAGATTTCTCAATGTACCCTATACAAACACATCTCTCAATGTACCCTATACAAACACATCTCTCAATGTACCCTATACAAACACATCTCTCAATGTACCCTATAAAAACCTCCTAAATTCCCCTTACGACAGATCTCTAAATTACCCTATAAAAACCATCCTCAATTTACCCATACAAAAAACCTCTCATTTTCCCCCAAAACAACAGCGCTCAATGTACCCTTACGACAATCTTCAAGACCCTATAAAAACCCACTCTAAATTCCCATACAACGATCTCTCATGTACCATTACAACACATCTCCAGTACGTAAGGGTTTTCACAGACTCTCGATGGTTTCAGACTCTCTGCTATAAAGGAATGGGGTCTTTGGGGACGCATCCGGCCAGGTCCTTTTTTCCTTTAGGAGTCTTTACAGAGGGGTAGACACACCTGGACTGAACTCCCAGGTCGGGCCCATGGGGGGAACCAGAGCACGCAGCTGGGGCCATGGGCGGGGTTATCATGACAGGAAAAACGGAGAAAAACCCTTTTAGGACTTAAATTGGCCCTGGGACTTCTCTGGCCATCTGTCGGACTACAGCCTCGTACTATAAGCCCCAGGACTCCCATTAAAAGCAGTGAGGAAGGGGAGACCCGGGGGGGGAAGAGAGAGAGGGAGAGGGGAAGAAAAGGAAAAGGAAACAGGGGGGTGGGGGCTTTTTTTTCCCCTTTCCGGGCGGGTTGGCCCGGGGGGGGGGGGGGGGGGGGCCCCCCGGGGGGGCCCGGGCCCCCCCCCCCCGGGAAAAAAACCTCCCCCGGGGGGGGGGGGGGGGGAAAAAAAACCCCCCCCCCTCCCTTTTTCCCCCCTTGGGAAAGTACCCCCCCGGGGGGGCCCCCAAAGGGGGGCCCCCCCCCCCCGGGGAATTTGGGGGTTTTTTTTTTGAAAAAATTTTTTTTTTCACTTCCCCCCCAAAAGGGGGGGGGGGCCCCCCCCCAAAAAAAAATTCTTTTTTTTTTTTTTCTTTAAATCCCCCTTTTTTTTGGTTTCCCGGGGGGGGGGGCCCCCCCCCGGGTTTTTTAAAAAAATAAAAAAAAATTTTTTTTTTTTTTTTGGGGAAAAACCCTTCTTTTGTTTTTTTTCTCCCCCTTTTTAAATTTTTCTTTTTAAAAAAAAATTTTTTTTTTTTATTGTTTTAAAAAAAGGGGAAAAAAACCCCCCAAACCCCAAAAACCTTTTTTTCCCCCCCTTTTTTTTTCCTTTTTCCCCCCTTCCCCCCCCCCCTCCACTTTTTCCCCCCGTGGTTTTTTCCCCCCCTTTTCCCCAAGGGAAAACCCCCCCGGGGCCCCAAATGTTTCCCCAATGGGGGCCCCCCCCCCCTTTTTGGGCCTTTGGGCCCCCCCCCCTTTGGGCCCCCCCCCTTTAAAATTTTTTTTTGGCCCCTTTTCCCAAAAAACCTTAAAGGGTAGGGCCCCCCAAACCCCCCTTTTCCCCATTTTAAAACCCCCGGCTTTAAAACTTTTTTTCCGGGGTTCCTTTTTAAAAAAAAAAAATTTTGGGGTTTTTCCCCCTTCTTTTTCCTTATTTGGGGGCCCACCGGGGGGGCCCTATTAAAGGGGGTAGGGGTTTTTTTTTTAAAAAAAAAAAATAAAATTTCCAGCGGCCCCCCCCCGGGGGGCCCCTTTTATTTACTTTTTTTCCGGAAAAGGTCAAAAGGAAGTAAAAGGGTTTCCCAAAATAACCCCCTTTTTCCCGGGGAAAGGGCCTTTTATTTGGGGGGGTTTTTTCCAAAAACCCCAAAACAAAAAACTTTAAAGGGGGAAAAAACCCGTCCCTTTTTTTTTTTTTTCTCCTAAATAATGGGGAAAAAAAATTGTTTTAAGGGGGTTTTTTTAAATCCCCTTTTATTGGGTTTTTTTTTAAAAATTTTTCTTTTTTCCCAAAAATTTATTTCCCCTTTTTTTAAAAAAACCCCCCCGGGGGCCCCTTACCCAAAACAAAAAAAAAAAATTTTTCTGTAAAAAAAAATATTTTTTTTTTTAAATTAACAAAAAAAAAACCCTTTTAGGTTTTTTAAAAAATTAAACCAAAAACAAATTTTTTTTTTTTTTGGGGGTTTAAAAAAAAGGGGGGGGGGGAAAAAAACCGGGTTTGGAAAAAGGGGGGGGGAAGAATTTTTTGGGAAAAAAAAAATTTTTTATGGGGGGGAAAAAAGAAAAAATAAAAAAAGGGGGGGTTTGGGGGGGTGGTTTAAAAAAAAAAATTTTTTAAAAAGGGGGGGGGGGAAAAAAAATGGGGGTTGGTTCTTGGTTTTTTATTTTATTTGGTTTTAAAATTAAGCAAGGACAAGGGTGTCCTGGTACTGTAGGTACCAACCTGTTCACCAGGTCTTGGCAAATGCCTCCATTTTGGCAGGGGCTGGAGGCACATTCATTGATGTCTTCCTCACAGTGTCGGCCAGAAAACCCAGGCTCACAGTCACAGCTGAAAACAAAGGCAATCATTAATATTGATATCCTCTTGCATACAAAATAGAAAATCTATTTGTTTACTCGTAGTGGCACATGTGAGGAAGACAAAATGATAAAATAACAGATCAATGAAGAGGACTTTATCTGATATTAATTACACATCGGATCTAGATTGACCGGAACCTTTTAGATTGTGACTGTTTGACTAAACGTTAAACTAAGCTGTAAAGAAGGATTCATATAAACAGTCCTGTTTTGAGTTAAAAGGGGAGACGGTTCCTCATTGAACTGACCTCATTTCCACTCCAAAGGGCATGTTATGAAGCCACATAATTTTTTGCATAGTGTTTATGGAAATATGGCATGAGCCTTTGTTCATTTAACAGTTCATTTAACCATATCACAGGGTCACGCTTAGCGTTGTGTAGCAACATCACACCAAATCACACACATCTGATCTGAGACCACAACAACAATATATTGCTGTGGTAAATACATGTTCATTATATGTGCTTATAATATACAGAGCACATAATGTAGTATATTTATTATAATATTACAGAGACCATACTATCAATATATTTATAATATGTTCAGAGACGGTAAAAATAATATGGTTGTGATAAGTATGTGATAATATTCATTATACTTCCGGAGTCATCATAAGGCAACCACCATCTTGAGATTGTGAAGCTCACTATCTACTTGTCCCAATTTCACCATATTCAATAATTGTCACCTTGGAATTAATTGCACTCATTAGTGTTAGCTAAATTACTGCTAAATGGGAGCAGGTATTGTGCGTAATTGATCAAATCATAAAATCATCTGGTATGTGTTTATAATCCATTATTCATAAAATCTGACAGCCATTTTCATCTTTGTTTGTTTGAGTGAGTATCTCTGGTTTGACAAATGAATGGAAGTGTCCCAAATGGCTCCCTGTTGCCTATACAGTGCACTACATTAGGCCGGATCCTATAGGGTTCTGATCAAAAGCACTGCACTACATAGGGAATAGAGTGCCATTTGGTATGCAGACTATGTATATAAGGTGCCCCTCGCGGTTCACTTTTACCTGTAGCTGTTGACCCGGTCAAGACAGTGGCCCTGGTTCTGGCATGGGCCTGAGATACACTCGTCGGTGTCAATTTCACAGCGCGTTCCCTGGAATCCTGAAAGATAGATGAGTTGGTCATGGATCAGTAAGCCTCACTACATCCTGAGAGGCCAGCTGGCGAGGCATCGAGCGTCAAGCTCCATGATAACAAAGGCCCTGGTGAATGGAAGGAGTGGAAGTCAACTGTCCATTTTAATGGAACTAGTAGCCCCTGTAGCATCTCTCATCTGCCAGCCCCTCAGCCCTCTCTGTTTCCCCTCTCAGAGGAGTGGATACGTCTAATAATACTGCAGTGGCACAGACAGATTGGAGGTCTGAGGGTTGGTGAGGAGTTAGGGAGAGTTGGGGGTGGTGGGGAGAGTTAGGGAGAGTGGGGGGTGGTGGGGGAGAGTTAGGGAGAGTTGGGGGTGGTGGGGGAGAGTTAGGGAGAGTGGGGGTGGTGGGGAGAGAGTTAGGGAGAGTTGGGGGTGGTGGGGAGAGTTAGGGAGAGTTGGGGGGTGGTGAGGAGAGTTAGGGAGAGTTGGGGGGGTGGTGGGGGAGAGTTAGGGAGAGTGGGGGTGGGTGGGGAGAGTTAGGGAGAGTTGGGGTGGTGGGGAGAGTTTAGGGAGAGTTGGGGGGTGGTGGGGAGAGTTAGGGAGAGTTGGGGGGTGGTGGGGGAGGAGTTAGGGAGAGTTGGGTGGTGAGGAGTTAGGGGAGTTGGGGGGGAGGAGTTGGGAGAGTGGGGGTGGTGGGGAGAGTTAGGGAGAGGTGGGGGTGGTGGGAGGAGTTAGGGAGAGTTGGGGGGGTGTGGGGAGAGTTAGGGAGAGTTGGGGGGTGGTGGGGGAGAGTTAGGGAGAGTGGGGGGTGGTGGGGGAGAGTTAGGGAGAGTTGGGGGTGGTGGGGTTGGTGGGGAGAGTTAGGGAGAGTTGGGGGGTGGTGGGGAGAGATTAGGGAGAGTTGGGGGTGGTGGGGAGAGTTAGGGAGAGTTGGGGGTGGTGGGGAGAGTTAGGGAGAGTTGGGGGGTGGGGGGAGTAGGGAGTGGGAGTGGTGGGGGAGTAGGAGTTGGGGGGTGGTGGGGAGTGAGAGGAGAGTGGTGGGGGTGGGGGAGTTAGGGAGAGTTGGGGTGGTGGGGAGAGTTAGGGAGAGTTGGGGGTGGTGGGGGTTAGGAGAGTTGGGGGTGGTGGGGAGAGTTAGGGAGAGTTGGGGGTGGTGGGGAGAGTTAGGGAGAGTGGGGTGGGGGAGTTAGGAGAGTTGGGTGGTGGGGAGAGTTAGGGAGAGTTGGGGGGGTGGTGGGGAGTTAGGGAGAGTTGGGGTGGGAGTGGTGGGGGGAGAGGTTAGGGGAGAGTTGGGGGGGTGGGGGAGTTGGGAGGGAGAGGGGGGGTGGGGGGGTGGTGGGGAGAGAGAGTTAGGGAGAGTGGGGTGGTGGGGGGAGAGTTAGGGAGAGTTGGGGGTGGTGGGGAGAGTTAGGGAGTGGGGGGAGTTAGGGAGAGTGGGGTAGTGGTGGGGAGTGGGGGTGGTGGGGAGAGTTAGGAGGGAGAGTTGGGGGGGTGGGAGAGGTGGGAGAGTGGGGGGGAGGGAGATTGGGAGAGTGGGGTGGGGAGCGGTGGGGAGAGTTGGAGTGGGGGGCGAGGAGGGTTGGGGGTGGGGGTGGGGGGTAGGAAGGGGGGTGGTGGGGAGGAGGTGGGGGGGGAGTTGGGAGAGTCGGGGGTGGGGGGAAGTGGGTGGTGGGGAGTTAGGAGAGTCGGGGTGGTGGGGAGAGTTAGGGGAGTTGGGGGTGGTGGGGGAGAGTTAGGGAGAGTTGGGGGTGGTGGGGAGAGTTAGGGAGAGTCTGGGGTGGTGGGGAAAGTCAGGGGTGGTGGGGAGAGTTAGGGAGAGTGGGTGGTGGGGAGAGTTAGGGAGAGGTGGGGTGGTGGGGAGAGTTAGGGAGAGTCAGGGGTGGTGGGGAGAGTTAGGGAGAGTTGGGGTGGTGGGGAGAGTCAGGGGTGGTGGGGAGAGTTAGGGAGAGTGGGGTCTGGGGAGAGTGGGGGTGGGGAGAGTTAGGGAGAGTTGGGGGTGGGTGGGAGGTTGGGAGGGTGGGGAGTTGGGGGTGGGGGTGAGGAGTTAGGGAGAGTCTGGGGGGTGGAGTAGGGGGTGGAGGAGTTAGGGAAGGGGTCGGGGTGGGGGGAGTTAGGGGAGTGGTGGGGTGGTGGGGAGAGTTAGGGAGAGTTGGGGGTGGTGGGGGGGGGAGTTAGGGAGAGTTGGGGGGTGGGGTGGGGAGAGTTAGGGAGAGTGGGTTGGGGAGTTAGGGGGGGTTTTGGGAGAGTTATGGGTGGTTGGGAGAGTTCTTGGGTGGGGGGAGAGTTAGGTAGAGTCAGGGTGGTGGGTAGAGTCAGGGTTGGTGGGGAGAGTCAAGAGTGGTGGGGAGAGTCGGGGGTGGTGGGGAGAGTTAGGGGTGGTGGGGAGAGTCAGGGGTGGTGGAGAGAATTAGGGAGAATCAGGGGTGGTGAGGAGAGTTCGGGAGAGCCGGGGGTGAGGGGAGAATTAGGGAGAATCAGGGGTGGTGAGGAGAGTTCGGGAGAGCCGGGGGGGTGAGGGGAGAATTAGGGAGAATCAGGGCTGGTGGTGAGAATTCGGGAGAGCCGGGGGTGAGGGGAGAATTAGGGAGAATCATGGGTGGTGGGGAGAGTTCGGGAGAGCCGGGGGTGAGGGGAGAATTAGGGAGAATCAGGGGTGGTGGGGAGAGTTCGGGGAGAGTCGGGGGTGGTGGGGAGAGTTCGGGAGAATCAGGGGTGGTGGGGGGAGTTAGGGAAAGTTGGGGGTGGTGGGGAGGGTTAGGGAAAGTCGGGGTGGTGGGGAGAGTTAGGGAGAGTCGGGGGTGGTGGAGAGAGTTCGGGAGAGCCGGGGGTGGAGGGGAGAGTTAGGGAGAGTCAGGGATGGTGGGGAGAGTTAGGGAGAGCCGGGCGTGGTGGGGTGAGTTAGGGAGAGTCAGGGGTGGTGGGGAGAGTTAGGGAGAGCCGGGTGTGGTGGGGAGAGTTAGGGAGAGCCGGGTGTGGTGGAGAGAGTTAGGGAGAGTCATTGGTGGTGGGGAGAGTTAGGGAGAGCCGGGGGTGGTGGAGTTATGGAGAGTCAGGAGTGGTGGGGAGAGTTAGGGAGACGGAGTTGGGGAGGGCTGTTGGAGGAAAGAGGGAAAGGAAGAGAAGAGAGGCTAAGCTCTAGAGCTCCTTTGGGAGGGATAGGATGGTGTTCATTAGGGGGTGAGTTAGGGATAGGATGGTGTTCATTAGGGGGTGAGGAGGGATAGGATGGTGTTCATTGCGGATGAGGAGGGATAGGATGGTGTTCATTAGGGGGTGAGGAGGGATAGGATGGTGTTCATTAGGGGGTGAGGGAAGGATAGGATGGTGTTCATTAGGGGGTGAGGGAGTGATAGGATGGCTAAGCAGATCAGCATGGATGCTTTGTGGCACTTCTGAAGGCATGCAGGGAGACAGCCTGGAATAGAGGCTCTTTCTGTCTGTCTGCCTGCCTGCCTGCCTGCCTGCCTGTCTGCCTGCCTGTCTGCCTGTCTGTCTGTCTGTCTGCCTGCCTGCCTGTCTGCCTGTCTGCCTGCCTGCCTGCCTGCCTGTCTGTCTTTCTGTCTGCCTGCCTGCCTGCCTTTCTGTCTGTCTGTATGTCTGTCTGTCTGTCAGCCAGAGTTATTCCTTTGGTACTTTAACTGCTGCTGTGCTGGTGTTGCTGCTTAGCTCCATATACTATTCCTCTGCTCTGCTCCTAAAGAAAAATACTAGGCCTATAGGAAATAATCTAACCAACGTTGATTATCAATGTAATGGTGGTCATTTTGAAAGGACGCAACCATGGAAATTGAGTTATTCTAAGAACATCCCTACTTTGTGAATGTGAGGGTTTCATACATAAATTAACTGTAATTAATGAGAATTCTGATTGATACTATATGTTGGAATTAGTACAGAGAAACAGAGATGAAATGTTGTACTTTGGTTAGCACCCCACTCCTTCTCTATCTGTATCCTAGGCCTAATCACAACTCAAATAAAAACAACAATGCAGTCAACATTTTACCATGAGTTCAAACAAAGCTAATGAAAGACCAAATCCTTAGGTAGCAAATCTGAGTTCCTGAATGCCTACATATTAAGTCCCTCTGAGATTAATGACCACAGCCATTGGGGCTAATTAGCTCGAGGCTATATCATTTTATGTTGACCACATAAATCAGGATTATTTCATAAATAATAGGTAATGATAAAGTGCATGGTGGTTCTTCTGTTCTCTATGCATTTATCTACCCACTTTAAACACCTTTGTTGGCGTAATGGATAAATGAGTCTATAGGCCTACAGGATCTTGTATACCTGGCTGATAGTGCTGCAGTACAGCTCATGTTGGCCCAGTAAGCCCAGTAATATGCTAGATATTAAAGTATTAATGGTGGTGTTTGGATCAGGCTGAAAAAACAAGACGTTCACACCTGCTATAAATTCCATTATGGAACTAAATGCGAGTCTTGTAGCCGGGTGCAAATGGAATTCTACAGTAGATCTGACTGGCTGCGTGTTGCACTGTTTCTTCAATGGTTTAAATAATGAATTTAGAAGGGAGCGGTCTACAATGTTGTGTAGATGAAAATAATCGATTCAGTCTACATTCTCATCGAAATGAGGACTACAGTATCTAATGTATAAATCCTTTGTAGATCAGTAGGGTCAAAGTCAAACCTCTGTGACGGACAGAAAAACAATTACAGGGAGAAATACAACCAGTCAAACTCAGACCCTCAGAATTCTGTCATATGTTGATTGAAAACGTCCATCAAATCCACTTGTGACTCTTCAGTACTATTACAATTAGTGCTGCAGGTTTATTATACCCACAACCCCTCATCTCTACCGAGACCACGCCACACACGACATGAGCAGTGATCACATCGCTCCAGACGGGGGATGATAGAATGAGTGTGTGTGTGTGTGTGTGTGTGTGTGTGTGTTCGCTCCATATGTGTCTGAGCACTGAGAACCAACACTTTGTGCCTTGGGTATCCCACCTCTACCGTCTCCCTGAGCTCTCTGACAGA